AATTAAAGTGGTAGGACATTCCCACATACACTCGTCGGTCTTTGTCAACCAAAGGTAAGCTCACTGCTTTATGACTGCCATTCTATTAAGACTGGAATTCGCGGTGGTGGTAGCTAGATCTGTGATACTTGACCGAAAGGTCGAAAACGATGTAACAGGCCAAATCCACCGCACTAAAAGATTATTAAATCGTCACGACAAATTTGTACCGTGTTTAACACCGTCTAATAATAATGTTGCACTCGCGACCAATACTTTATCATCTTATATAGGAGCTTTTAGGTATTCCAGAATGTCGAACTACAATATACATCAAATTGTTTACCACCCAAGCTAGGAAGTGTGGCATGTAATGCCCGGAGAAGTACCCGGTGCGATTGATTTCCGATGTCCTACATTATGAAACAACGCATTTTACACTGATAATAGAGTAAGATGAAACTTCCGCTTGCTTATCCCACTTGAATGGCACTTCTAGTCGCATAGTGGCAAATCTCCCTCTGATCCATAAAGGCTGCAGCTGCCTGTGGTGGTGAAGACCTGGGGCAGACTTTGGCTAGGCTGACTTCGGGATTCCAGACTGAACCAGCAAATCCCCGAAAAGTGGAGATTGTGCTGCGGCCCGCGCTACCAATGAGGACGGGCCATTCAAGTATCAAGTATCAAACAAGAAGGCCTTTCCAGTGATTTAGAATCTCATTCAGCGCCTGTATCTTACACTAACCTTTCTAGCACGCTCAGCAGCCTATTTTCGATAGCGCCACTCCCCAATTACTTTGTGACGTCTCATATGTCTTACCCACTTTTTCGAAGCTGTCGCTGCTGCCTTCCTCAACGAACTGAGAAGTTTAACGTGTCGAAGCACTGTTGCAAACAATGTAAAGCAAACAGACGTTCATCATGAAGTCACCTAGCAAGTTTATTCGCCTGTGTTCATTAGAGATCTTCCATCAATTCACCAAACTCGGGTGACCAGACGGAAGAACAGAAACACGGTAGAGCCGTCAGTGGTCCTCTGTATCCATGAACGGGTTCTCTTGGCTGTAGCTCTTAACAACCAACAGTTTTTATGAGTTGGGAAAAACGATCCATTAGCATGAACACTACGGTAATGCCCATGTTATTCTTTCATTTCAGCAACGTAACACTGCTCTAATTCTGTTGCGTTACCAATTTTTCACTATTCAGCCTCAATTAGATTACTTGTTTAGGAAGTCCTTTCTCTTTTTTTTTCAATAACTGTCAACAAGATGGGTCTCTTTCGTCAATAAGTCAACAACCAAGAGAGAGCTCTCGTACCAATTATCGATGTAGACATGCCTTCCTCCTTCTAGCAACTTGTGTATGAACCTCACCATTAAAAAATGCGCCACATCTCCAGTTATGGAGGGATTGCTAGCAGGATATTATGCCAGAATTCTGTATGTATTTCGTGTACATCTTGAATAGTACGAGTCCTTACACGTGCCTCTTATGCGGTATCTATTCACGAAACCGCTTTACTTCTGAACAGGACAATGGGTTCGTCAATACACACGTGTTTTCGAAGCTTGTATTCCGTACTGTAGTTGCCGTTCATAAAGCCGATTAGTGGCCTAATCTTGTGCAATCTGTATCGTCGGTCGCAGCTTTACCTGTCGAAAAAGTGGAGGTAAGCCAACAAACCTTAAAATTTCTTCTCCATAACCCAAAAATTCCTCAAATGTGGGAGTCTCAGAATGTCTACCTTAAGATAAACGACACTGAACTTTCTCATTTCCTCGATATTTGTCGCTTCCCATGACCCGCCATCCTGTACAGTATACCTATTCGCCTCAATCACGGCGTACCCTCAGGGATTGGTCACCGCCAGGAGCTTTATCCAATTCATTTTTATCCCTAGCACTATGGTAAAAGTGCTGGATGTGAAGCAAATTTATCAATTCCCTAAAGCGGACCAAAGAAATGAAGGTCCTTAGTCCGGCTTAGGATTCCGTTTCTTCAGTGTTCTAGGCTTCTGTCCACCTTATAAAACGAAGAATCATCCCTGAAAAAGCGGCGCTCTGATCTAGGAAATTTCCAAATTCAGTGCAGGTTGCGAGTTAGCATAAAAAGCAGTACATTACTATAATGGAACCGTATTCCAACTAATATCGTACTCTTACAAAAAAGTGATGGAGAAAGATTACTCCATTCTAACTTGTTTAGAAAATGACTGCAGCACTTGGTAGTTATTCTGAGTACTAGTAGCCTAGATTCAACTCAAATCACTATGAAAACCAGGACAAAACACTAGATTACAAACATGCAGTAGAAGTATGTGTTTTAAAGTGGTTTAGAATATGACCGTAAAGACATAAGGCCACTCAAAACAAAGCCCCAAAGTTTTAAGATGTATATAAGACTCTGCCACCATTAAAAATACATACAATCGTAAATATGTTAATAAATATTCAAATTTTGTGCGGAATTTTCACCGAATTACGTATGAAAAACAATACCTGTAGTTACACACAATACATTTAAACTGACGACGAACATGAATTTATGACGACAGACTTACGTGGGAATTGTCACTCTACTGTTTAACTATTTAACTTTGTTGTAAAGTATGATGGATTTATGAAATATAGTTGAGTATATCTTTAATGACTGCGTTTTGAATAATGTTGTTGTCGAAAATGTAGAGAGAATCTAATTTATTCCACGGATTTTGTTGTGTGGAAAGATTTTCGTACCTTCTACAAAACCAGCTGCATAGCCTTGTTTATACGTTTCTGGCACTCGTGGGGATACTTCGACTTCGACGAACGCCCACCTAAAACGTAGTTCTGGAAGCGGTGCTCGACCTTGGGTTGGGATCAATAAATCAATAAATTGAACACGTATTCGTCATCCAGTCAGTGGTTTGGATTATCATCAAGTTACAGTCGACGATTTCTTGTCGATTGATTGATAATCATAACACTTGCCCTGTTTCATTAATCAGATTGCTGTACTTCACCATTGCCACCGTCCTTTCACATTCACTTCTTTGATCTTCAGATTCTTTGAAGTAGTACAGTTTGCCAGATTCGTTTTCACAAAGACCATACTGGAAGTACTTCCGATTTATTATTGGGTGGCCTACAACCATAGTGATGCTGAGATATTTGCAAAACTCCGGACGGCAGGTGTCTGCGGTAGGGGTCGAAAACGCCATTACTCTCTCCGAGAGCTAACGCGTTCACCACCACACCATGCGCTTCCATCGTTTCGCCTTTCGCTTAGTTAGTTTTCTGTCTACCAATGCTAGCGGCAATCACGCGTTAACGGGATTGATCTGGGGAGCCCAAATGGACATTGAATCCAGTTAATGTGAAGCTCCAGTCGAAATATCTCAGCTTCATTGTGGTTGATTTCACATAATACCATCTCGTGAAAATTGTAGTAGGCAGTAAATAGAAAATGTCAACGTTGTGATGTACAGTCAATTATTTTGTTACTTACCGTTCCATCACCTTCCAGTTTTATTGATCGGTTAGTGTTAAGCGTGTTTGACTTCTGTGCGTTCGATAAAAGTACTTTTAAAAGTAATATTCGTAAAATGAGATGCTTAATCATCGTTCAGATGTTGGCCAATGCACGGTCGCTTTGTCGGCTGGCTGTTGACCCAAATTTCGAACGTCGATTCGCCGCTAACCTGCAATTTCAACAGGTTTTCTTTCAAATATTTCTTACTTAGAACGGTTTGAAATCGTGTCAGAATTGGGTAACAAGCCATATTGAGGAATTGGTCATTCTTTTACAAGGATAATTCACAAAGGAGGTAGCGCAACTGGTAAACTCAGTACATTTCAAGGAATATGAGAAGAAAGATATAGTTCGAGTACATCGTGACATCGTGCGATAGTGCACTTTTCTTGGTATTGGCGATTCATTTAGAGCGAGGTCGAATCTATAGATTGCGGTGCCTGGTGCCCTACTTAAAAGGCAAAGCGTAGATTTAGTACTACTTTTTGTGTAATCTAGAAGATTACTGGATAGGACATAGTAATCCCTAAAGAAATACAACCACCATCATGTCGAGATATTTGCAAAACTTGGTTACCAGGCCAGAGAAAGGCAGAGCAAGGGCCTTAGTGGTGCAGTGCGTAACAAGTGAGTCCCCAGACAGGATAAGGGTCGTGGTTCGATCTGGCCTGGAGTCCAAGTTTTGCAAACATCTCGACATCATAGTGGTTGTATTTCACATCATACCCTGCCGTGAAAATTCATAATAGGCAATAAATAAAAAGTTGACATAAAGAAATAGTTTGAAGCAGTAATTATCGAAGATTTGTGGTGAAAGGTGTGCTCATCTGTACACATCCGGCGTCACCTGAACAGCTGTTAGCCTTGAAACCAAATAAACAACCAATGGATTTTGCTTGGGTAATATGTCAGACGTTGGTGTTCATCGAAAGATTCACTGATAAGTGTGGTTAACGTTGGTAAGACTTTACAAAGCAGTTGTTCACAGGGTTTGGAGGTCGTCCTTTCTTTCACTGTGCCCTTCTAGGGAAAGTGGTCTCTTAGTCAGTAAAAATGAGAGTGAAGTCTTTTCATAGTTTCCTATGAACGATGTGATTTTAAATATAAGAGTTTTCAGAGACTGACTTTCCTTTAATCTCTGCTTGACTATTCATTATATATCTTTTCATTGATATGCTAACACCAAAGTAACAAAAACTCTATTCGGTTAAAGTTTTCGGCGCCTAAAGGGAAGGGACCGAAACCTTAGTCAAACAGAGTTTTTTTTTTATTAATCTAATTTTCGCTTAACATTTTGAATTTGATGAATGCGAATTTTGAAATGGGAGATGTTGCTCCTCTCTATATGTCGTAATTTGTTGTTGGTATGAGGATAACCTTATTACTAAGTTGCGATAACATAGACTTTTTAATATTGTAACGCAGAAGTTGACCCATAATAGAAAACGTACCTATTGGCCAGTCATCTCTACTGGTCAGTCATCCCGGAGTTGGAGGAACGTTGGTTTTTGAAAGAGAATTTTTCTCTAGAACTTGTTTTAGACACCATCATCAATCTTTTGGCGTGGTTGCAGGACTTTCGCTGGCGTCCATGCTTTGCTGTACTGAAGGCAAACTTGTTGTTTGTGTTTGACAAGCAAGATGACCCTGAACCTCCTTTCCTTATCCTTATCATCGAGGATTGTTTCGTCGAGCTCTGTGATGAAAATAAGCTCGGAAGAGACTTTACCTTTGAGATAAAGTACAAAACGTTAGTTTTTTCTCATGCCAATCAATATTCTATTTAGACTTTTTTCCTAAGAATGTTCCTAAGAACTGTGTTTCAGTACTGGAAGAAGTTTCGTCTTTGCAGCTGAAGATTTTAAAGCGTTAGAACGATGGGTTTCTTTGTTGACCATAACACCAATTGACTATATGTTACTCTGTAAGCAGTCATTCGCAGAACAAATTGAACGCTCGCAAAAGCTGGATCAGACTGCTTCAACTTCAAAAGAGAAGAGTTAACGTTAGTGATGTTCTGCCTTTCCAAATGTGAGATGTATGAGAGCTATTTTGGACGTTCTCACCAGTTTTACTCAGTTTCGATACTCTTGTTAAGCAAAGACTAGGTGTTACTTTTGCTCCGATAAAACTGACTTTTCAACCATGTCACCTCCTTCAGAGGGAGAGCTTGCTCAACAAGAATATCCTGAATTATTTGATCAGTGCCGAGGTGAATAGGAAGTCGGTTGTGAAATTTACCCATTATGTCATTTGTCTTTGGATCTTGATGTTAACTACATAACTCCATCGGGTACCTTTTTTCACGTGTTTTTTAACTGTGGTATTTTCTACAAAAACGTGTTTATTTTTGTTATCAACTGTGATATTTTCTGTTTAAACCTGTTCATGCTTTATGACTTTCGTTATGGTTTCATTTTTCTTTACCGGATTCCATCCGTTCCTTTTTCCTTACTATTTTTAATGACAAACTTATGCTACTCATGCTGCTTTAGCTGGTGTGTCTACGAAAACAACAAGGACTACAGCAAAATGCCGGTGAGTGTTGAATCCCGTCGAATCCTGACCGTCTTTATAGTCATTCTTTTTTATTTTTCTATCGATTTATATTATTTTTTGTCCATATTTAGGCATATCACTCAAAAATCGACGCTGAAATGGTGGTCGCTAATATGGCTCTTCTACCGCTACGGTCAAACTTCAAAGGACCTGCACCTCGTATGTATTACAAAAGTATTAAGGGATTTGCAGTACTGTCTAAGAACAAGGGAAACGAATGTGAATTTATGTCAAGCGTAGCGGATGTTTAGCATTTCTTTTGTTACCGCTTCTCTGTTTTCGGAACATGGAGCCTCAATTTTCTGGTTTGTGGGTACACCTGTGTCATTTTTATAATGCCACTCAACAATTTATTGCGTATTTCGAAACCAATTGTTTAAATCAAAATCACATTCGAGTCACAGAGATCAGCAATATCAGCGCTCAAGGTTGTTTGAAGTTATGAAGAACCTCAATTATTCAAAAATGAATCGAAAGGACGAATGTGTTACTATCGTGCGTGACTTGATAACGAACCTCAGACTATTTTCCACTTGAGTTTCATTTATCGTGGACTACATTGGAATGATCTCATCGCTAAAAAAGTGGGCAGGAGACGGATACTTTAAGCGTTCTCTCCAAGGTTCTTCACCATGGTTGAGTTATACTCTTTATGTTTTCATTGATGTTATAGAACTGTTCACTGAGTAGGGCTATGTGTTAGTGTGTTACTCTCCAGACTCTGACGAAGGCGAGCTTGTTTGAACGTTGTCGGTTAAGAACATGAAGATCTTATTAGATTGTGTTAGTTTTTGAAACCTAGTTTTTAAGTATACAGTAACTTGTTGACTAAAGTCATGTTTAACTGGGTGGTGGTGTTTAGAATTCAAGCGTTCACTAAAATTCAGTTCTTGGTAGTGAAGTACTTGACATTTGCAGGAACTGACGCCGAAGTTGATATCATCGATGAAGCACTAATGTACTTCAAACCAAATATTTTTTTCCGAGAATTCGAAATCAAAGGTCCATCTGATAGGACATTGATATATCTGACTCTTTATATAACGGAGTGCCTCCGCAAACTACAAAGGGTTAGACTTTCAAGTTCATCTAGAACACTAAGCGTAAAGAAACATTGTCAACGTCTCTTCACCGATTCTGCTTTTTATAGAGCCCCAACAAAGTTGCTGGACTAAAAGATTTGGCCACTCTTGCACTCAGCCGTCAGCTACCGATACCAGGGGAGGCGGATTTTCCTTTGAATAATATGTATAAGGTATGATACTGTCTGGTACTACATCTATAAAGTTTTCCAACTATTCGGTTGAGCAGATAATTAGGTGGGAACAAACGACACAGAGGATCATCGGGTTCAGGCGTTATAACATCCGATTTCACTAAAGAATTCGAGAATGTGAATGTAAATGTCTTGAAAAGTCATTACCATGATTCTGTTATGTTTGCACGATATGGGAAACATAATAGTGGGTACTTAGAAACTGGAATTTCTAAGATCGAAAGTATAAAGAGTTCGGAATTGATAAGCCCTTCAGAGAAGTGCGATTATGGATTTGACTCCATTAGCACATTGGACACGGTATCTAATCTTCGTCAGCTGCCATGAGTTTTTCAACATCTAACCCAATTGAGGAATCGAAAACGATATAATTATAGAAGGCACTTTGCTTTGTTACCGTAGGTCAAATATTGCAACTAATTTTTCCCATGGTGTAGATTGACGTTTAAGGGCCTACGCGAGTTGATTTCTACTCAAAAAGTGCGAAAATAACGGCTGCTTTCAGCTTATCCAACGTATCTCAGCCCGAAGTGGATTTTTAATTGCCGTGATTAGTAGTAAACTCTACAAATCATTGCTTATAAGATAAAAGCTCTCCTGTTTTGCCACAATAAAATTCTAATTTTCTAGAGCTTGCCAAATGTAAATGTTTTTTTGTGCTTTTTCCTTCCTCGACGCTTATATTTTTAAAATGAAAACAATTGAACAAACCGTATTTCGTCAGCTAGAAGATGACGTCCCCAGATGTGTTAGTTAGAGGTTTTGTTCAAGGTTTCGGAAATTGGAATCTGGTTTTGATTTTTTTTGGAGATATTATTTGTAAAGAATTTCCAAAATCGAATAAGGGTTTCGAAGCATGTTTACGTTTAAATAAAGAGAGCAAAGTTTCCCCTATAATTCAGTCACGTTTTCAACTTCTTAAATTTCTCACTTGTTGAAAATCAGCCGTTTGAGGAGAAACGGCTTCGACCACTAAATGTTAAAGTTGAGAGGGGCAATTGTTTTCGTTGACGCATGAATTATGTATGACTCACGTCGTCAAGTTGTTGGATGCATATTTAGTGTACAATTTGATTTGTTGGAGGGGTTGTCAATGTACCAAATCTGTGTTCTTATTTGCCCATACAATTTTAGTACCAATTTCTCGATCTGGGAGTGATGGCGTGCTTAATAAGCCCGGGGTGCAGGATTGAACCAACGACAACTGTTGGCATCGAATGCCATGTCTAACTGTTGCACTACACTATCCATCGCGTTTTCGTTTATGAAAAGGAAGCGGTTGAGCAGTTTCCAAAGTTGTTTCGAAAAAGTTATTTCGGTTCCCAATATGGATTTTTCAACATTGTCAGTATTACTGTAGTTTCGAACAAAATTATTCGAGTGATCAAGTGTTTTTACTTAAAGATACCTGCTAATAAGCAAGAGGAGGAGACAATGCGTGCCTATCTGCAGCAGTTGAGACAGGAACTTGGAGTTCGCCTATGCGACTTAGCGTTTCCTGATCCTTCAACAAAGCCAAGCAAGGTAATAGTCTTCTCCGTTGGCGCTTTTTAGGAGGTCTACTGATATGAAAAGGTTACGGATGCATCAATGACTTTTTAGGCTTAACTTTTGGGTACATCTAGAAACATTGTAGAGCTGCAATTCATGTTCAGTTCATTGGCCTCATGTAATGCTGATCACTTTATTCTTTACAATCTAGAACGTAGAATTGTCTAGGTTACATGAGGACAAATTGATGTGTTAGCATGAAAGCATTGACTTGTTCTTTCAGTGGTGGTTGTCGTTTTCTCGCAAAAGGTTTATGGATAAAGGACTCGTTAGTCAAGGAGTTATTCTGTGATCTCTTAAAATGTACTTTGTCTATAAATTATGACTCTCTGCTCATTGTGTATGTTCGATTTAATATAAACATGTGCTTTTTCTGTGCTACTAATGGGTAGTGAAGCTACAGTTCCAAAATAACATCCATGATAAAAACGGCCCGGGTCTCATCTCTACACCCACTTCAATGTTTGGTATTGTATTGTTCTTCAATAGACTCAAGTACAACGTAGAGTGGCTAAAAGAATAAAGTGATAAAGCTATTCACTTTGATCAGTCCCTAAGAAACGCGTCATACATTCAACTCCACTAAGCGTTGTTGGAGCTGATTGAATGCATGTATGGTCTTTACTCGCGGTGGTCTTCCGATGTATCGAGCCAGTGCTGCTATCCTCCTAGATAAGTCTGGTACCAATTCGCCGACCCCGGAGAGATGGAAGGCTAGGTGAGCCTGGAGTGCGGGGATCGATCCGGTGCGTATTGCAGGGCGCGTTCGACTACTGCGCTACACGCGTCCCAAGTAAAGTGGCTATAATAATGGGATCTACTAAAACATCTACACAGGGAATAATTGTTACCGTTAATGCTCTGCGCAAGTAAAGTGAACTCAATTATGCGTAGCTTTTCGTGACTGACTCATAACACAACTATCATATATTGTCTGTAGCAACATAGAGTGCCGAGAAAATATGTAGAAACGCCCAGAAGCAGATGGGGTTCATGGTAGACGCAGATCTCTGATCGGCAATGACCAACGTCTGAAGGATGCGCGGTGTTGTCGCCCATATTAGGTGTTGTAAAATTGATTGAATGCGTAACCCATAGAATGCCCATGGCACATAGAATGACGGAGACCTATTGATGATCGATTAAGTGGTTTTACAGTCCCGAATAAGTGCAAGTTTGCCAATCACAAAGGAACGTAGGATTTCGTTGCCCGACAAGCCGGATTGAACCAAGGACCTTGTGTTTTTTGCACGGTACCACTAAGCATTGCGCTACTAGAGCACAGGATACCGTGTTGTTTCAACTGTTTCACGAGGAAGCCGATTTTCCGATAATTGACGACAATCTTTCCACTGTTAGAATATTTCGAGTTCAGAATTTTATGGAATTGCAAAAAAGATTGCTCTGTCAATTCATTCCACCTACAGTCTAGCATGATATCCTTTCAAATTCCATATGTCCAAAATTAAGACTTAAAAAAAAACTTGGGAGCTTAAGTTCCTTGGATTTCTAGTGGAAGAGCGGCAGATGGAGACATAGACTAGAGAACATCGTCGTGCCACGTTGCACGAAATCCGGCCTTTTCATTCAAAATATGGTCGTTGAAACAGTAAAGTGACAAAAATATGTCAAGGACTCAAGAAAACCAAATTTCCAATCGTAGTGATACAAGGGTGCCCTTACTTTGTAGGCAAGGAATTCTGGATTCCGACAATTTTTTTACACAAGAGTGCCTGTGGTGCAGTGGTAGGAGGCGCCCTGCAACACGCACTGGGGATCGATCCAAGCGCCCATGGCCCACCAAGCCTTCCATTCGCCCGGGGTCGGGAAATTGGTATCAGACTTGTCTGGGAGGATAGCAGCACTGGCTCGATACATCGGTAAGTCACCGCGAGTCAATGTAAAGTCTAGATATGACTTCATGATTACCTCCAAACGATGCTTAATGAAGTCGAATTCATGGCGCAACCCTCTGGGGTTGATCAACGCCGAGGGCCTTATCCTTTATTCTTCTTTATCCTTTTAATAGTTTCTACTACAATCATTAAGATCCACTACGAGTTGAGATATGTTCATTTAAAGCAGGAGTACGTTCTTCGTATATACTTCCTCTAGAGGCCACGTGATCGCCTAAGGGTTAATAATACTAAGTAACACGTGCGATTCCTAGGATTCTAGTAACTAACAATTACAACCACCACTCAGAGTCAATACGTATAGTTTGTAAAGTCAAGAAACTGGATCATATTCCGTCAACTCCACTCTATTACCTCCAAAACATAATCCTTATATCATTTCACTATGACAACTGTTACTTAAGCTAATGCAAAATACAATAAATACCCACTATTGCCCACGAGGCATTACCTCCTAAAAATGAACGTTCAAATTTGCGCAATTATCGATCGAATTCAGGAACACTGAACATCTAAAGTGGTCCTACAACGAAATCACAGCGTTGATCTGCGACGCCCTTCGGCGTTCGGCGTTACTTTTCGGTGTTGTCCGTTACGGTTAATCCGTTTTGGCAACGTTTATTGGGTATGTCATCTGTGAGTGTTGCTGAACAACTCGAGGAAGCTGTTTCACCTGTGAAGAATCTGGAGCAGAACAAGGTGGGTTAGACTCTCGTTGAGTGCCCTATAGACGGATACAGTATGAATAAGACCTGGCGGTGTTCCTGATCGGAGTAAACGCTTTCTTTTCTTATGTTGATTTGTACATCTTGAGTTTGTACACTGAATGTTTTTGTTTACATGCTACCATACGGTGATAGAATGCGTACATTGTTGGTTGATCCTTTACTCACTATGGCTATTTTAAGAGTGTTGGGCTGTCGATGACTCCTCTAAAGCGTAGGTTTTCTGAGGATGAGAACGAAGAAGTGGTAGCGAAAAAGATTCGTACATCTGATGGTGAGCAAATATCTGTTCCTGAGACCACGACCGGAGATGCTGAAGAGGAAATGGAGAAGGGGGAGGACATTGACGCGGAATTGGTCGTGGCAACGGACGAGGATGAAAAGGCTACCGATGACGACGCTAAGGAAAGTGAGCAAGAACAACCAGTTGTAGATGTCGTATTGGATAAAGAAGACGCTGGTGGTGATGATGAAGGCAAAGGTGGGTATTGTTTTAAATTGAGACTATACTATATCCGTAAGATTCGAAAGTCGGCAATCCATGCACTTTGGGGCTAGTAACTACCTACAACTAGATTAAAATGGAAGAGAAATCCTGCATTTCTGGTGGATGTCTCTCTTTGTTGAAGTGGTTGTGAGATTGGTGTAAAGACGTACATCGTTCCATGTTGACTAGTTAATAGATCTTTTATCATATGTGATTAATCTCCCTGTTTCTGTATAGCCCGTGTTCATAATTACTCTCTATTTGGACGTTTAGCCCTATAATATAGCACATGAGTTTGTATACCAGAACTAAATGAGGGTAATTGTTAACGTACATCTGCATTGGTTTTCAGGTGATGGTGAGAAGGAGGAAGAGTCTACGATTCTGGATGTCGAGACCTGAGAGAATGTTTCGTTCATGTATCTTGTGATTTACTTGCCATTTGAAGCTTTGTGTAATGTTTCTTTATCATGTGGTTTCTGTGAATAAATGTCTTTTTGTGCGTCTTTAGTGGTGTATCACATTGTTGAACGTATTTTCATTCAAGATATAGGCTTGTAGATGAGTTCATGGATTATGGGGGTAGACTGGGTTCTGGCGAGTTCATATCCCGAAGATCGTTTCGTAACAACTATGTTGAGGGCATTATGTTCCATACGAGTTGATAGCAGCGATGAACGGAGTGTTTGGGATTTCGATGGACAGTGCAGGAGGTTGCGTTGTGTATTAGAATTTCATACCATAGCAGGAAGTTGGAAGAGACCGGCGATCATCTTTGTCGCTTTATCGTTGGTGAAGTTGCACTGACGGAAGCGGTCTGTCAAGTAGGTGATGCGGTCGCTGTTAGCGAGATTCTGAAGTTGGGTTTTTGATTGGCGGAATATGCCAATGGTAAAGAAATAATTTGCCTAAACCTTTAGGTGTGTTATATCACTACGTGACAGAGAGGAGAGTGCTTGAGAAATCTCTATGGATACCGTTCCGCTCACGAAAGCCTTCATCAAGTCATTGAAAGTATCCCGAAGAATCTGGCGCTGCGTAGGGTCAAGTGCCTGAATGGTGTACCTGTTTTCTGTTGATCTATAGTTCCTATTGTGTTATTAGTATAGTTTCTGCTGAACCTATGGTTTACAGATTGCGAAGGTGCCATCTACACTAATCTACAAGTACGAGGCTGTCCTCATAATGAACAATAGAAGAACCATTGAAATGCACGCAGCATCACTAACAAAGTACGAGTTTCTGTATTCTATTAGGTTTAAGTACTCAGTTTCAGAACTCTACGGATCTTCTAAAGGTGTTCTCGGCAATGATTAGGTTGTAGATTCTCCCAGTGAATGTTTGAGGACGGTTTCGATAGAGACCAGATGGTTGTCAGGAGGTCCTATGAGAAAGATAGGTGAGGTTGTTTCGTACTCCAATTCTTTTGGCTTTTACAGGGCTATTTGTGCAACGTGTAGTAGACCCTTTCTTAGCAAACAAAATTAGTCCTTTTCAATCAGTTGACGCCGAGCGGATGACACGGACATTGTAATGACTGTTTTGAATTCAGTGTACTCCAGAACTTCTTTTTACCACAACGTGTATTCATTCGATAGCTAGTCAAAAGCAGGTACAGCTAAGAGGGTCAGGCCAGGGAATAAAGCAGCGTTCTATGCACTTCATATTTTACAAAAAACGCCTTCCAGATGAATCCATTTCTTGGCGATTCAACCTAAAATGAGACGCTTGAACACATCACCTGGATATAAGGATTTACAGGTGCTAATCAGTTGTAGATCTGTACTTAGCGTCATCAGATTTATAAATTATATCTAGGAAGCGCTGGGCAGCAGCAAGAGTATGGGTTCACCGCGAACAGGAGGTTTGTTGTACGGCGTGTTTGGAGGTGTTCCCTCAGCGCTTATTCATAATCTCTTTCGCCAATGTTTTGAAAATAATGCTCAAAATCGTTTCTTGTGCAACCTAAAACTTTCACAATTCACCAAATCACTCTTTTACAAAAGCCAAAGGATTAGTAGGCAGAGGTCAATTAATCGGAATGAAGTAACACAAAGTACTTACGGCGAAGTCAGCTGCAACCTTTTCGTTCAAGTCAGTTAGTCAGTAAAGACATGCTTCCCTCTCATCGATCTCTTCACAAGGGTCATTGTCACTGAACAGCTGGAGTTCATCGAAGGCTAAGTCAAGTCCTCCAGCCCCGGATATGCTACGCCTAGGTAGAATTCAATCGTTGACAAACTTATAGTTATAGACGAGAATTTCAGGATCTTCATAACATGTCATAGAGCATTGCGAAAGCACGGAACTCGTCGGCAATATAGATGGAACCGTCTACAATAACAAAATTAAAATCATATAGAAATATTCTCAATCACTTTACTCAAATGGTAACAACGATGACATAGCTTAACATAGAAATGGAAACGTGTCACCACCAAGATCAAACCACGATTTCTCTTTCCGGCGGCTTGTGTATTACATACTGCACCACGGAGGGCCTTGCTCTGTGTTCCTATCAGGTAGTTTCCTACCTAACGTTTTCATCAGTAATCACCCGTCAATGGGATTGATCTGGGGAGCACAGATGAGCGTTAAACCCAGTAAGCTGAGGCTCTAGTCGAAATCACAATGTTGCGATTGAATTTGACATAATAACTTGCCGTGAAAAATTATATTACGCAACAAATAAAAGGTTAACTTTGTGGTTTCGACTACAGCCTCAGCTTAACTGAGTTCTGTGCCGATTTGGGCTCTCCAGATCAATCTCGTTGAAGGGTGGTAGCGTTAGGTAGAAAACCGGTTGAGAAAAAGGCAAAGCAAGGGCCTTAGGGTGCAGTGGGTGACACGTGAGCCTCTGGAAAGAACGACCCCAAGTTTGATCTGGTCTGGAGTCCAGGTTTTGCTAATATCTCATCATCGTAGTGGTTGCTTTAAATGTGTATATTTTACCGTCACTACTTGCGGCATTTCTCTACATCTTTCTTTATTTTCTATGCTTTCTATTTCTAATCTAGAATCCGAAATTTCACGTGCTCCAGATCCCGTTAGCCTTCAGAGCAAAAAGGTGATTTCAGTTAAAGTGACTTTTCGTGATATCTATAAGATTTTAATTCTTAAACTATCCCACAGAGCTAACAGTGGTTCCTCAGATGGAGTCATCGTAACCTGAGCACTACTCCTGTACGGGAAGCGACCTCAGCTTTATGTCGAGACTGCTAGCGAAGTTAAATGCACAAGTAAGGCTTAATACTTAAATTGATTGTCAAGTTTATGTTACAGCGTCACAGCGGTTTACCGCCTCATCGTGGCTGGGAGATGTTCCTGGGTGTCAGGCTACGATGTACAGAAGGGGATTCATCCCCCGGCAAGGGTTTCCAATATAAGAAGTGCTGTTTTTCCATTAGAAAGTCTAACTAAGAGCTAAGTAAACCAATACTAGAATCGACCACCGTCCTGGTATTAAACTAGTTGCATGATGGCAAATCTCCCTCTGATCTACAAGGACTGCGACTGCCTATGGTGGTGACGACCTGAGACAGACTTTGGCCAGGTTGACCTCGGGATTCCAGGGAATCACAATGGCTAAGCCAGGATATCTCCGAAGAATGGAGATTATGCTGGGGCCTGCATAACCAGCGAGGACGGGTCATCAAAGTATTCAAGTAAGTATGATTATGTTACAGGGAATTACGGATCATAGGTGATGTTTTCTGATTTCAAGTTATTATTGTTATTATATGTTATTGTCGTTAGTAGTTGAACAACGTAATTGGTAGTACAATCGTCATGGTGCTCTGACACTTGCAATACTCGGACCACAGGCCAGACCACAGCCACCCCTTCCTGAGGTCATCATCGTGGTTGTACTTCACATTATACTCTGCCGTAAAAATAATGTGCATTAAATAAGAAGTTAACATTGTAACTGGTAATATTTTTGTAAACGGACCTCCGTTTTATTTTGGCATAAGTAATCGATAGTTTTGTTCTATTGGCAAGCTTACACGAGGTTGATGTCAAGTGCTTATTATGATAGACCTCTAACCTCTTCAGATGATGTTTATCTTGTCATTGAAAACTGTCCCATCTATGTTGTCTATGGATTTCGTTCTTTGATAATGAGAGTGTTACGTGTTTCTAAGGTCCCGTCATCTGTCATATTTCATATGAATCCCTTTCCACTGTTTAGTTAAATGACTCCTCTTCCACGTGGTCACTAAGTGAGGCATGGAGGAGCCATCGCAACAGTTTGCACGTGATCTCTTGGGGAACTCCATGGCACAATTACTGTAAAGTCATTGCTAATTTCCGATTGTTCCTTATCAATTTTTGGTTCAATATGATAGATGATCATTTGTTCATGTTGTAGCCTATGCACCTCCCAACGGTATACCGCCTCATCGTGGTTGGGAGGCGTTCGCGGGTGTCGGGCTGTGATTTACAGCGAAGGGATTCATTCCCCTGGCAGTGCCTTCCAAAATGAGGAGTCCGGCGTTTCCATCAGGAAGCCTAGCTAAGAGGATGTCAATACCAGGATCCACCACTATCCTGGTATTAAAGTCGCATGGTGGTAAATCTCCCTCTGATCCACAAAGGCTGCGACTGCCCGTGGTGGTGAAGATCTGAGGCAGACTTTGGCCATGCTGACCTCGGGATTCCAGGAAACCACAATTGCTTAACTAGCAAATCTCCGAAAAATGGAGATTATGCTGGGGCCCCACAACAAATGAGGACGGGCTGTTTAAGTATCAAATAAGTAAGTAGCTTATGCAGCAAATGTTTTTACACTCTTGTGATTGTGTTTAAGTTGTTGAGGTTATAAGGTTGACAATAAGGTTTGTTCAGCTAACGTTTCGACGTCTTCGTCTTCATCAGAGCCGATAATCAGAGTCTGTCCGTCTAGTTTGTCTGTGATTATGTTGAGCTTTTATTTCTTCTGTTCTCAAGTTCCGGTGGATAAGGCTAGTGAGTTTCCTTGGGAGGTGTAATCTGCATGCCCCAACGATCTTGTAATTTTTGGTGTGCGGCTGTCTCCTATATATCCACATGTCGTCAGTGGGTCCCATCATTAGCGTTTCAGCCACACCTCATTTCTCGACATGTTCATATTGTCATAGACTGTATTTCTGTATGTATAGAAGCTTCTGGATGTACAACCTGAAAGCCTTTATTCCATGTTTTTATGTTTCCATGTTTCCATTCCATGTTTTACCTTTTACGAAGCATGTTCTGTCGCGACAAAACCACTCTAAATAGCACTTTCTCAAAGCCAACAGTTGTTGATATTTGTCTATTGTAATAACTTAAGACCAACACACCAGTATTCAAATACGATGTTTCATCCCTAGTCTTTGACTCGATTTCGCTCAGCCCAGGCAAAACCTCGATTTTTATATGAG